TTTATTTAAGTAAATTCAAAGGTCAAAACTAGGGGAATCCGGATTGACGAGCAATTTTTGGAATCGTGAGTCTAAAGTTTATGCATTTCGAATCATTATTTTTGCATATTTTTAATTATACATGTTTATATTATCTGCATAAAAATATATCGGATCATACCCATATCTTTTACCCATAGATTATACCCATCTTTTTAAAAATATGTTGGATTATACCCATGGGATTTAATTCATGTCTTTATTAATATTACTAATGCTGTAATAGAATGTGTTAAAGTTTAATTTCTGAATTTATTTTCAAACCTTTCTTATATATAAGAGTTTACACATTTTTATATCTTTTAGAGTTTTAGATGTTTTACTAAAACTCTTCAACAACAACCAACAAAATCTTGCTGATTAATAAATAAACTAGTGTTAAAGAGCTGATTAAACCTTTAAAAAGGACTTAAGTATTTTATTTATTTAACCTTTCAAGTTAAAAAATATTAAATCTAATACTATTGTATAAGTATAATAACGTAAATGATTAAAAATAATTCCCATTAAGGTTTAGAAATTCAATTAAATGAAATGAAAAGTTGCACAATAAAAAGTGATGAAAATACGAAAAAAAAAATAAATAAAAAGTGGAACACGTTGCGTTAGATAAATTTCTCAAAGAAAATAATATTAGTAAGAAAGATGAGGCTAAAATTTATTTATCAGAAGATAGCAGAAGTTCATTTGTTAACCAGAGTTCACGACACCTACTCATCAGCAGGTTTATGCATATCTAAAGAGGTAGAATTGTAAGATTTCTTTTTCCATTTTCGGAATGCTTCTCGAGGTCATACCGAACAGAATATTCTGGCACACAAACAGTTTTCAATCAACAATTTAGGTCGAAGATCATGACCTTTGATATTGCGTGTCGATCGTGACGATTACATTCTAATATTCTTATAATATATTAAATAATTTTACGTCTTGTTTACATACGATTATATTTAATATAAGAAAATATAATAAAATTAACTTTCATAAAGACAAAACATATTTAAGTAAATCGTATGTTCAAGCGAATTTATAGGCTATTTTTCAAGTAAGGATAGGAGTAGAAACTAAAATTGCTATTTACTACTTATGTTAACTGTGAAGAAATTTAAAAGTGTAGATTAATTGTTAGATAATTTTATTGATTTCTTGTTTTTTATGTGTATTTATTTATTTAGCAATACAGAAAGAAATTAGTAAAATTGGCAAAGTAATTTTTAATCGATTTAAGTCCGTTCTTCATATTAAGATTATTCAGAATTTAAGCTAATTATTATAAGACTATTCATAATAATACAAATATAGAACGTTCAAGTTGTAATATAGAATACATTTAGAAAGATTAATTATAATTTGATTCGACTTCAAGCTTTCATTTATCTAAAAAGCACATTCATGTATCTTATTCTTTACTTTTTTATGTATTCATTTAAAATGCATTTAGTCTGTCTAATTATATAATATTTACGCATAAGAAAGTCATTTTTCTAAAAATGAATTCGAATTAAAACCCAAATACCTACTTTCTAAATTTTATAAATTCAAAATTTCAACATTTCATAAAAATCAGATTAAAAAACAAATTTATGAAGTTTTCATGCAAATTTATTGAAAGATTGAGGTTATATTTCGTTGATAAATGTATTTTTGACGCTTTTGATCCTTTAAAACTTCAATTTTTCTCTTACATTTATTTTTAAATCAATTCATAACGTATTATTTATGATATAAACATGAGACCAATGGCCTTTTTTTTAATGAATTTGATTTGTTATAGATTAATATCTATAGTCTATAATAATAATTATTGTATTTTTTTAATCTGTGAACTAATTAAGATTAAAATATTACAATTTTATTACTTTACATCTTAATTATGTTCTATCATTAACCAAATAAAAATTGTTTAATATTAATTTATTTTTATTTGAAACAAATGAATAATTACTAGACACAACAACCTATCTCCTATGTCTTAATAATGTATACACTTTTTTTTAATTTTTAATTATAAATTTCAATATTTTAAAAACTATTTTTATACTTTTTGAGACTATAAAATATTAAATTTTATACATAATTTTTAAATTATATTCCAGATATTTCTCTAATTTACTGAAATAATCGCGGAAATTAAGATTTATCAAGCACAATAGAAAACTGTCATCAAAATTTAGGAAGTGACTTCTAATTTACCTGGATTGTAACGTCTTAGTCCAGGTGACAACGAGGTGTAGGGTCACGTGTAGGTTTGTATGTAACGGGTAACAGTGTTTAAAATGCAACAAACTACCTTCTGTTGTAATATGGAATATAAAAAAAAAAAAAAAAGTTTCTTCTCTGTCGAATATTTCTACTCTTTCCGCCTTCTGGCACTAAGAAGGCCTTTTTATCGGGATTCGGCCTGCTCAAACTCGAAAAAAAAGCCATTCTTAGTGCCTATCCGAGATGGATCAACCCCGAAAAATTCCACGTAATTTTTTGAATCGATGGAATTCGAATCCGGATCCTTCAGAGCGTTAGACTGACTAATTAACTATTCGGTCATCCGGTTTCGATAATATTTTTAATAATACAAAAATATATTTATTATAATTTACAATTTATTAACGTATACAATATATAGTCTATATTAATTATTATATAATAAAATCTAAATTTAAAACATCAATGGTATTAATTTAGATTTCTGAAACTATATTTTGATTTTTTAGAAGTGGAGATAAGAGACGGGGTGTTTAATTCTTGTTTGGCATACGTCGACAGATATAGATCTGATCTGTATTACAAATAAACGGGATTATGTCATTATATTTATAGTTTTAAAAAGTGAATATAAAAGACAATTTTTTTCTAATCTCAAAAATAAACTGTAAAGGAACAGGAAGTAAATTTTTAATGATGTAAACTTTTTTTTGTAGTTCTTATTTTACCTAAAGGTGCATAGACTTTAATAACTAATTGTACATTTCTCTAAACGAGATTATATTAATAAAATGCGTTGTATTTTTACACGTTTTAAACTTTTTTCTTACACTGAATAAAGCGTGTTCATTGCTAAGTGAAGAGATAAGTCATTGAAGTACAGTATTTAGTTTTGAATTTCTGTTGAAATAATTAATTTTTCTTTAAAAATAAAATATTTATTTGGCAAATTAGTAATATTTAAGCTTATTGAATTTTTTTTTAACTTTTCGAGAGATTACTTTTTACGGCATTTTAGTATTTACAAATTAATTGGTTTGATTTAAGAGGATAAAGCAATGCATCACGTGGGCGATCTGCCAAGAGGAGATGCCTCCCGGGAAGACCGTTTATGGATAACTGGCCCCTATTTCGGTGTTAGATACGTGAAAACTTCACGTGGGCAACGTGTGAACTAATGTTTGGCGGTTTTATCCACTTGGCTACCGGGTGGGCATATTTTACAAAGATTTACAAATATACAACTGTCCTGGAGCTACAAATTAATATTATTGCAAATAAAAATCATACAACGAATATTTTTGAACATGACTTTTATTAAATAACAGATATGAGATAAAGAGTCTCTTTAAGTAATAAGCATTATACTAAATTTACATAAACATTTTTTATATTGTTGAATATATTAAGTTAATTACAAAATATATAAATTAGGTCTAAAGATCAAATTCAATATTTTTTACTGAAAATTCTTTCTGATTACACAAATACAAGTCGTTTACTTAAAGTCATTTGATGTAATAAATCTAGATAATTGCCTAAAGCCACTTTCGAAATTAATAAAACTATAATTAAATAATAAATATTGTGAAAGAGATTATTTATTTTATGTTGCAATTAACCTATATTTATTTGTTTTAGCATTTTAATCGTGCTACAAATAACCTATTCAAAATATGAAATAACCCGAAGATTTATATGAAGAAAATCAGACTAAAGATTAAATTTAGCATATTTTTCCTGAATTTTAATCAGGTTTTCAGTCCATTATAAGACATATAATTTTAATTTATAAAAGACCCCGTTTGATTAATTATTTAAACATTAACATTCCTCGAGAATATAAAACATGCTTTAGATATAAATCTATATTTAAGAACTTTTTATGTAGGTCTTACTCTATCTAAAATATTTTATCTTGTAGCCAAAAGAGAAGTGGAAAAATAAAATTAGGAAAGCCATAGACTTAATTTATATTATAATTATGTATAAAGCAGAAAGTTCATACAGAAAAGTCCATTATACAGATTACAATAATTTTATATTTTTATTGATTTATTAAATCAGAAATTTATATATTTGATTCCATATATTTTGCATTAAATTTTCAGTCAAGTATTAATCAATTCCTACTAAACTCTGGCACTTTTAAACATTTTTCTTTATTTCTGAATATAAATATTTAATTTAAACAATTTTTAATAAAAAAAATTCATATTGTATACAGTATTAATAAATCAGACAAAAAGTATTCAATGAATAACAGTTCTAAACTACCAAAATATTCTCGTAAATACCAGAAATATGAAGGGAATTAACATAATCTCGAATGTCTTGTCAATATTAATAGAAAAAATTTATTAAATTCAACTACTGGAAAATATAATAATTAGACAAATTTAAAGTTAATTACATTCTTATTCCGTTTAAAATGAGTAAAGCTAAACGTATCTTCAAATTCTTATGTGAATAGATTTCAGGTATGCGTGTAAAAAAACTAAATAATTAATGACAATATCGAGTAGTATTGTGGCTTTTATTTTATTTTATTTTATTTTTGTGAGACTTACCCGGTGGCCCAGTGGCCAAATGATCGACCGTTTAGGTCGGGTCGATGCACCGTGTTTGCCCAAAATTACCTATCATCTTCATTGATGTTGTAACCTAATTTCGAGCATTATTTCCCTCACTCGTCTGACGTGTTTGGTAACGGGCTGGACAAACCCGTTAGACCACTACTACCCACTGGAGGAGCCACTGTAGCAAATCTTTCCCGACTCATTCAGTAAATGGATTGTTGACGTTCGACATCGTTCATTCGTGTCTCCTGCACAGATTGTCAATCTACGGATGATGAGGTTTTAGTGAGAAATGGAACAACTCGGAGTTAAAGAGAACCTCGATCCCACCAAGACACAAAGAGTGAAGAAAAAAGCACCACCTCCTCCACAACCCATTCATGAAGGAAGGAAACCTCAGAGACAAGTGATTATTGCAGCTAGTAAGACTAACAGAGAGAGGCCCCCAGATACTAGACAGCGCGAACCAGCTAAATTGTTAACACCTGTTAGACCTCCTCAATCAGGCCTCACAGAGGATAGACGCCTGGAGTCTAAACCAAAGACTATAAAAACTTTAGTGAACCCGGTTTCCTATGCACGATGGGTGCAGCATTCTGGGAGTGGAAATCCTCAAATAAGTAAGGGAGCTCATCATATATTTAAAGGAGCTTCTAGATGCAGAGTGGGAATGCATCCTCATTCCTTCAATACGAGTCCGTCCGGATCTTTGAGTAGTCAAGGATCTTCTGGATCGGAAGGACCTAAATCTGTGCTGAAGAAACCAAGAACAGTTGAAATGCACGGTAATAAGAAGAATGTGACTTTTAATGCATTTGCTATGGTGCAGTTAGTGAAAGTGTGATTTATATATTATGATTTTGTATAATTGTGATTATCTTCATTAAATCGTCTTTTTTTCGTGGTAAGTCCATGTGAATTGCATATATATTTTTTCCATATAAATGTATAGTTTGTTTCAATTTAGTACGATTCGCAATTAAATTTTCTGAAAAGGACTTTTTTAATATGAACCAGCAAACTAAAGCAATGTCGCGACAACTTTTTTTCTTATTCATTTTGGCAATATTTAAATTATAAAAATGAAATTAATTGATTAATTAGGAACCACAATAAGCTTGTTTGGTGCCAGTAATAGAAAGCAAGATGCCAAACTCCCTCAACCATATAGAACTTCATAAGCTGTGGAATGAAAGTTGACCTAGTTGGCAACAAACAAAATGATGTCCTAGTTCACTGACACGAAGTGGACATTGGTGTCGCCACATCTCGAAGCCCCTAAAGCTAATCCATTTTGACACTGACATCTATTGGCTAGGGGACAGTTATTATCCCATGTGGCAGGTATTGCTTTCGGCTTCAATGACAGATCATTTTCTCCATCATTGTCTTTTGCAGTGTCTTGGCTGATGTGATCTAGAAAGCACATTTATGTGTTATCCTGTCAAAAGATCGGTTTAATTGTACTTATTTCGTTATATTAAAACATACAGTGCCCTCGAGCTGACGTTGAAGATATTCGTGAAAATGTCAATTAGTTCTCTGCTTAATAAAGAAAATGGAACGTGATAATGTTAAGTATGAAATGATCATTTTTTTCTAATAAATTTTAAATGTCTTTTGAATTATTCTTAACAAATCGACCATCTCGAATTATACAGTATCTTGTTAGGAATTACTCATTATTATTAAATAATTAATGTAATCTTTTAAACATAACTTCGAATTTATAACATATGCATGTATTTATGCTTTCTTGTATGTAATAAATTAAAAATTTCGACATTGTAAGATTCTTCTAGATTCCAAAAGATTCAATATAATGATTTATTTCTATATTTTTAAGATTATTTTCAAAATTATAATAACAACCCCAACTAATACTATTTCATAATTGTTAGATGCTGATTTAAACTTAGTTTCTATAAAACTTTTTAATATTTGACATAAATAATATATTAAACAACTAAAGTAATTTTTCACATTAAAAATGTTTGCTTTATTCAAGAAATTCTAATGGAACAAAACGAAATTTTCTTAAATGTGTAAATTTAGCCTATAAAATGGAACCTACAAAAATGCTTCTCACAAAAATGATTATTATGTCATGACAAGTTATCTGAATACTCACTTTAATGATATGGTGCATAAAAGTGCAATTTTTATCTTTGACAGGAAAATATAACCCGAATACAAAATTGGTTGCTGTCACTCATTAAATTTTCAGATCTGAACTAAATTTAGTGTGGCGGTACTTCCCGATCCATTTTGCCTTCTCACTAAATTTAATCATTCAACTTACACTTCCGTCCATGTTGTAATGGCAGATCTAAATCTTTAGTTGACTGTAGCAGCTTATATTAACTTTTTCACGTATTTTCTATTCTCAATATATTTTCTACTTTAAAAATTTTATAAGAGCTCACCTTCATTTCGATTTGTATCATACAATCGTTATTATAATAAAAAATATAATAGTATATTCATCGAGAAAACCAATAAATATGTCATTAAATCCTTAATAAAACTCTTATTATTGCATATTTTAATGTATTTAAAGAATGAAAATTAAACATAAAAATGGTCAAACTTTTAAAATAATTACTTATGTAGCTGAGTATAAGATAGTTCCGAACAAATTTTGCGAGCAAATTTCATTGATAGAAACCAGAAAAGTAATGAAAGTATAAGAATATCAGCAAATGGAGCAGATATATTCTTTGAAGAGTCATATTACTTAAGAGGTAAGATAGTGACAATATCCATGAAACATTCAACAGTAGAGCTGAAGAACATGCTCTTACATCTATATAAAATTGATTTTAGTTATGTACATATTAACGTTACAAACATTATTAAATGTCTAGAACTCGTCTAGACTTTTTCTTATTCGTCATTAAAATATATTAGTCTTGAAAAAATTATAATTATGCCAAAAAATATAAACTAATTATAAAATTTCAGTCGAAATGATGGTTATTAAGGTTTGAACCGGTGTTTGGAGTAAAATGGGATATTTTTATCATACCGCAACCTAAGCAATTATGTAATATTGAGTTTTTTGAGTGTTTTCAAGTACTTCGTTAAATAAAGTTTTTGATGTCAAAATTCATAAAGAAATAACGAAAAAAATTCAATCTATTTGGAAGCCATTACTATACACTAATTAAGTGAGGGGAGGTAATGAAGACCGAGAAAATAGCAAACTCTGGAGGATGTGACTGGTGGAGTAAATGATCGCCTAGGGATGAACTCTGATCTCTGTAGACATCCACAGACAAAATTATTGCTTCCAGCATAAAGAGAGATGTTATAATTAAAGTTATCGAATTTTTCGAAAATTCTCTTTGGTCCTATAAAGGGTTGTTTAACAGTCGAAACAAGAAAAAAGAAATCTTGGATAAACATTAATACTATTCCATATAGAATATACATATGTATCAATACTCTGTTTCAACATAAATATCATTATTTCTCAAAGCTAGACTTAGGCTAATTCTGTCTTTACATCATTATCATCTTTAAATATTTTAAAAAACCTTAATATATAATAATTACGTTAAGATTACAATGTAATTATCAAACTTAAACAATTTATTAACTGTTAACGAGCAAAAAATCCGCTATTGTTGAGAATCAGATATTCTTTCATTGATTTGAAATGGCATACTTTTGTTTGCTTCAGGAATTGGTACCATTTAAATGACCTAGAATCATTTAAAAGAATATCAATCGGTGAAACAATGAACCAGTTAAATTCAATAGTTCAGTATTGTTTAATTGAATATCAATTTATTGTTATTTAAGAGAAAAATCTTCGATTTATAAATAAATTTAATATCGATTTCACAAAAGGTTACGCGTTCAATTGCAATAAAGGGGAGGAAAGAGCAATAGTCCGACGAGAAGACAAATAACATAGTAGTAGATAATGTTTATGATGTTTTCAAATGGCAGGACAGATGTCTTACAAGAGCAAGAGCGGAAGAACATCGACCATATCACAACTCCGCCTTGGACTAAAAGGACTCCGAAATCCATCGACACCGCCCAAATCCTGTTCCTCTTATGACAATCATTCCCATTGCAGGTGAGCCTTCTAACTACTTCCTGACTGTTCTTCCGCGTCAAATGGGTAATTATCCGTGGCCAATTTACTAAACCCACTCTATTATTGACGTTCTTTTGCTATTTGTTTTTTTCCCTTAGGTCTATTAGTCTGCGTTTCGAATTGTTTCGTTCTCATTTCAATAGATCGAACTACAGAAAAGATTCAACAAAGAATTCAATTTTAAAAAATATAGGCCTATAAATATAACTTATTTGTAAATCTTTTCAATAATAAAATTTTATAATTTTGCAAAATTCTATTTTTATAAAATTTCGTCTTTTAGTGACAGTTTCCTACTTCTCTGCAACTTTATGGATTTTAATATTTAAAGACCATTTCCATTTCTTAAATTATTAATATGTAGCTAATGTTATAGAAAACATAGAAATAAAAATGTGAGAAGAATAAAATTCGTAAAATTAAAGTAAAAAATGCTTTGAAAAGTTGTATAATTTAATATTTAATATCCTAATTTTAGAAAGTCATATATTAGACTCGCATTTAGAAAGTTAAAACACGTTAAAAACACTGAAATTTTTAAAATAATACTCACTTACAGGTTTATATTGTTTAAAGTTTCTTTGTTTTTTAAAAAAATTAATTTCAAATCAAACTATTTTTATAAATAAAATTTTGATATTTTATACTTTTTCTTCTATTTTTTTCATATAAGATGTTTTAAACATAGGGGGAAAAAGATCTAAAAAGGAAAGCGGATTCTTCAGTTGGTTGCAATTTGATAGTTCTATTTTTTTTTCCTTTTTTTGTAACTAAACCGAATTTTTTGATTAAATGTTCCTGGTACATCTGGTATAATTGAATCAATCTAGTTTGTCTAGTAAGAGTTCACGTGCTGTTAAATTCTTTTCGGTTCTGGATATTTTCAAAAATATTTTTACTATTTAAAGTAAAATACTTTCCGAAAAATAATTGAAAGATTTCGAAAAACTTTTCTCGCATATTTAAAAGTTATTATTGTTAATTTTGTTTTGTTTCCTCCCTTGTTCTTTTATTACTTTTCATTGATTAAATTTTTCTTAAAAAATTATTATTTGATAAATACAAAATTTAAATATCAAGAACTAATTATTAGATTTCATTTTTATAAAAGTATTTTTATTAAACGAAATGAAATTGCACCGCAAAGTTATAATGATTAATTGCTTTTGATAAATGATAAAGTGCTAAAGAAGGTTTTTGAGTTCGACTTCGAAATCTTTTTTTTTATTTTTTTAAAATTTTTTTCTCCCCTCCTTCAACGAACGTTAATTACCGTACTTCTAGAACCGACGTCAAAATCCCAAAAGGATTTTTTCTCGTTATTAAACTGTATTTCACTAAAGAAAATTAAGTCTGTTACCCTTGATAAAATTAATTATTGGGAATTCAACTTGTCTCGACTATTATATTCTATTCTTCGAATAAAATAAAAAATTAAAACTAAAAAAAAAAAATTAAGTTTTTATCTTAAAATGAAAAGTTTGCACTCAATCTTTTTCCTCTTTTATCTTTTGAGAAAATAAATGAAGAGGAAAAGTTTTCGTTTAGAATTTTCTTATTATTTTTACGTTTTCAAACATTAATTTTCTGATTTATACAAATTCTTCGGAACTTAAATACCCGCATCAAGATTCAATCTTTTTGGCATTGTATAGCGATGAATGTGACAGCGTTACTCTCAGACAGTTAATGCGACTCGATAGGAGAATCGGGATTCGAACAATAGAGTAGAGGAGTACTGGATGATGGGATAAATAAGCTTGTACCCACACAACTCTTCAGTGGACTGTCGACGATAGTGTCGGTTTTTCTGGCAGCAGAGTCAGTCTGCTATTGTAATACCATCAATGTCTGCAAAACGACAGCTTTTTCTGACATCTTTGGTAGTTTTTCTGTACTTCTATGTAACTGGTNGTATATTGATTGATAAGGAAACTTCTAACTGCAAATATAAACACTCTTAAGGTCATTCATTTATTAATTCTGACATCCAATATTAAATACCTTAAAATGAAAGGTGGGGAAAATGTTTTGATCTATTAGCCTATTTAATTAGTAGAGAACATGATGCTAAATTTTAAATACGTCGAAGGTCCTTGATATACATAACACTTCATGTCTCTTCTCAGTATAGTAAGGTCAAATAAACAACAATCTATTTGACCTTTTACTTTAAGGATAAAAAGATACACCTTCTACCCACTTGTGTAATTTATGCATCTTTTTTAAAAATAATATTCAAAATAAAATTCCATTAATAATATTTTTGCAAAACAATCAGAGAGAATGCATTGATCTGAGTATCATCTTACCATAAAAACAATAGGTTATTAATTTTGAACCAATAAGGAAACGTAACCTAATTTTAAATTGTATAATAACAGTGATTTAGAAGTAAAAGGGAAACTACAAAAAAAAATTGGTTCATTAATTTAAAATAATCAACTACTAGTTGTTAAATAACATAAAATAATTTAAGTTATTTTAGGAAAGAAGACATTTTAGTTGTTTTTTTTTCTATCTGAAAAGATTAGAAATATTTAACTTTATATACCTAATAGTTAAACAAATTTTGCATTAAAAGTATAATACACTTCTTTAAAATTATAAATAGAAGAATAATGGAAGGTATTTCCTGAAATTTTTTCGACAATTTTAACCAGAATATCAAGTTCTTTTCTCTTTTTTTTGAACGTAAAACTAGCTGGTTGAAAACGAAACATGTGATCGCACAGGTGTCGACAAATTGCAGTTGCTCGAGCATAAAATCAAGAGGAACCACGGTTTTGGCTACGAACTCTGACCTAAAGGAAGACATAGTTTCAGGTCGACGCACTCTTTATGCATTTCCTACTTTAAAATAATATTAGCTATTGTAATTAAAAACCGCTAATATTTTGCATGTCACAGACCTCTTTACGAGATGTAAAACTAACGTTTGTTCTGGACAAATAGCTTTGTTTGAGTTAATTTAAACTAGATGTTTACTGTCTAAATTGGTACAACAGATGTATAGTGTAATTTTAAAACAAAACACGCAATAAAAGTCGAAAATAATTTATTTGACAACTTTTGAATCCCGTGACAAGACGTCATCGGAACGAGGAAGTGAATGGTCATAGTTGAAAGGTCAACACCTCAGAAAGCAAGTTATGAATACGAGAATGTTTATTCTGAAAGGCGTAAAATAAAGTTGTATTATGTATCTTACGTTTATTATTTTAAAAGTTTCATAATTTAATATCATTAAATTTTCAAAATAAATATTTAAATATGTTATAATGTTATTCGGATTTTTTAAAAACTTTATCAGCATAATTTTTATGATTTGTTTAATGTGCTCAAGTATGTACGTATATATACTTTTTTTTTTATCTCTTTTAAATTTGGGTCAATACTTTAAAGTAAAATAATTAAATTATCCATAATTTAAACAATTTTAAATTACGCGAAATAAATAAAAATGTAAAATCAATTTAAATATTTTATTTATTTATTCATTTTTAATAGAAAATTTATATTTTACTCTTACTTCTATATCTTGTTTTAATTCCATTTGCACAAATTATGCAAATTTTCTTTTTTGAATTGATTAATTTTTGGAACCTGAATCTCTATAAGAGTGACATTTAGGACATGTGTTTTTTCCGCAATAATGTCAGCGTATTTAAATTCAGGTTAAATAATATTATTTGGAAAAATTATGAAATTATTTCATATAATTTAATGTTTTTTTTTAAAATTCTGTTATTACTATAAATTTTCATTTATTTAAAGAATAAATGCACATATTTAGATACATTCAAGTATTAGTATAGAATCTAATATACAAAATTTAATGAAGTCAATCAGATTGCATGAATAATAACATTAAAATTTGTATAAATATAAATAAAATTAACAAAAAAATTTAATAAAAAAAGAATTATTCATATTAATTCCAACGCCACTTAATTTACTTGTAAATGCGTTTGAATTTCTTAAATTTAGATAAGTTGAAACTTATAAATCATTCGATTATATACGACAACGGTTAAAAAAAACATTAAGAATTTTTAAAACGATAAGTTTTTCTTCTATTTTGTATAATTAATTTAAAAATTTTGGAACATCATCAAGGTTTGTCAAAGAAAAAGTTTCATATTGATTGACTGGTTGTCCTTGCTCCCAATTAACTTGCTCGCTATTGGCTTGATTTACTTTTACTGTTTTCGGGGCATAGGTACCTCAGTTTATGATGTACAAAAATTTTCTTCCTTTAATTTATAATACTCTGTTATTATAATAATTATAACACAGAAAAATACATTTGGAAGCACGAAAATCATGTTCTTACTCATCATTGTTGCTAATTTAAATGACTAAATATTATATTAGTGGTCTGTAATTATAATACGAAGATGACATAATATTATTGCATTAAATATCAGTTAGAATATTCCGATTTTCAACACGAACATTAAGCGCAGGAAACAATTGTTTAATGTCATCGTCATCGAGCCTTTATTCTCAATCACCCCTTGTTTCCTTCTATTTTTAATAAATTGGTTTTTATGTAATTTATTTATTTTTTGAAATTTAAATAAATGTTTTCAATATTTATAAAAGTTCTAACATTTATCTAATTAAAGGTTTTTTTTTATTTATTTTTGTAAGTTCTGTATAAAACGTTAATGAGTCATGAACCAATTCAACAATTTGTTAACTCTGAAAGTGATGTTGATTAGCGTAAATTGAAATTGGAATTATTTTAAAACAATATTGAACTAAATGTTAATAGAGCATTGAAAATTGAATTATTTTCCCATAAAGATTATTTAAATACAGTTTACAGAACAAAGATATTTTTGTAGAAATATTTTATTAAGTAAAAAATTTATTTATTATTAAAAATCAAAAAGTTTATAGAATAAAAATAATGGAAAAAATTCCAATTAAAATATAAATAGCAAAAATCAATAAACAAATACAAAAACTTGCATCCTATATATTAAATTTTATATCAAAATAATAATTAATTTATATCATAATAATTAAAAAAAAATCTAAATAAATTTTTAATATATCTTTAACAGTTTACTATAATATAAAAATTATCAAATAGTTAATATAATTTTACAGCTTTCTAGAGATATTTTTGTTTTTATTCTTCTATCTTTTATTTAATTATTACTATTAATTATTTATCGAAGTTTCATTTGTCTTCATTCAAGCGTATAATAAACTTTCACTCAATGTAAAATTGATTTAAAAAAAACAATAACAATTTCCGAGAGTGAAGATAATAAAATATTCATTATTTTTTTATATGTGTAAAAATATAAATAAATCCAAATAATAATAAAAAAATATTCATTAAATAAATTATAGATTAAATTTTTCTATCATTAAAAATGAAGGAAATAAGAGTTTTATTAAAAAAACACAGTTTGCCTAAGGCTTAATGAGTGTTTCAGGAAGAAGGTAAGATATAAAACACCATTAACTTCATTCCATCACCTGCATAAAAATTTTGCCTTTTTTTTTTAAACAATAAGATTTTTAGTTCAACTGAAATCTGATACAAAATAAACAAGAATAATGTCATTTCTTTAAAATATATTACAGTAATCAAAATATTTTTCTTACTGTAAACCTTCAGTAATATTTTAAAGAAATTTCGGAGTTTAAAATGGCTATCTACAAAGCCTGTACGTGTATAATTTTAATTCCACTAATAAATAAAGGAAAAACATTGTTTTAAAATGGCTTCTATGAAGTATAAATCAATTTTTTTTAAAGTTAAATATCTATAAATTGTCAACTTAAATTTCAGGATGGATTCTAGTTTTAAATAATAGTTTGTTGCAAGTCTTGTTTTTCGCTTGGAAAGTCACCTGTTTTCGCAAGAGAAGGAAATTATGGTAGACAGCAACTTAAATTGTTCTAACCTAAAGAACATTTCAAGGTTGAAAAATATTTTCCGCTTCAAAATCCCTTTACATTCATTTCNAGTTCTGTTTACATATGTAGATCAGTTTTTTACAATATAAGTTTTAGAAATAATGTTAGAAAATAGATTGCTATTATCAAACTTTAAGCTTTCTACTTAGACCAAGTTATTGTTTTTCTTAGATTCGGTTTGCGAAGACATTTATATGAAACTCTGAGTGTTGCAATAAAAGTTGGTTATCACGTTTCATGATAACATCCTAAACAGAAATAGAAACTAGACATTTGTCAAAGTGCATCGACCTCTTCCTAAACATCATCTAAGGTAAGCAGCAGGATAGACTCGGGTCGCTCGACCAAACCCATTTCCCAGTGATCTGGTTTCGTAAATCCCGGAAGAGAATTGAACGTTGTACATCTCGTAAATGCCATAATTATCTTCAAATACCCTTGAGCAACGTTTGCAGAGTTTTTACACATTTATAGTTTAGTAAATAAATAAGAATGATTTACAATATTTATAGATTATTTGCAACTCACACCGTGGAGATAACGAGTTTCAATATATACATATATATAGGCCTATATTACTATAGGCACAGGTGATTCATCTGTGAACTCATCCGATATAGTAACCCGATCACACCAATTTAATTAAATAATATCCTCAGAAGTTCACAAAATAAATTTTATTATATATATATATGTTAAAGAATAGATTTAGTTCCAAAGACTTTCTGAAAGTAGAATGACCCTTATAGATAAAATATTACAAAGAAAGTTAAAATTGTTCCGCGTATCATAAGAAAACAATGAGTATTTTTATCTTTTGATTAATTTTTATCGATAAGAATATAAAATAAATAAGTTCTATACAACAAAAATATAATTAAAAGCTATTCATTGATTATTTTTAACTTTTATCATGTAGCTATGTTGTAGTTTATTTTCGGAAGTTGAACTTTTCCCTGGTAAATAAATAAAACATAAAATATTAATTATTTTCTAATCGATAATTTATTATAGCAATTTTATTTAATAAAGAAAATCTATTGTAAAGTTATTATGGTAGCAATTATATGTTTGTCACTTTGTAAGTTCAACTGACGGTAGTTATTACTGTAGTCGTATCACGGAACATATATTTTATGGCGTGTACTTATCATATTTAAAGAATAACAAGGACACAAAGGAAATTTATTGTACGGTGCATTTTTGCGAAATATTTTCTAAGAAAAATATTTATAAAAATTTAGTAAATAAATAGGGCATTGTTTGAATTTCAAGTATTTTAAAGACAGTTTAGTTGTCTGTAATTGCCAAAATCATGTTAAATATTTTGACTGTACTGTGTTATAAATATTTTTATTTGTTTGAGTCATAATTTAGAAATATGATCTCAAAAGAAAAGCGACGTTTTAACATAACTGGATCCTAGATAAAAGAAGGGGGAAAATATTCGTCATAGAAAAATACATGCAAATCTACATTGATCAGAATTTTTCAGCCTATTTAGAGAGAAAAATCCAAAATTTTTACCTTAAATATTCTTTATATTTAAGGATAAAAGCTATTTTTAAACCGTAGCCTAAATATAATTTTATAAAGTTTACGTTTATATAAAAAATTTCAATAAATCTTATTACAATATTCAATAATCTCTTGTTTAGTGACAATTTAAAAAAGCAAAATATAAGGCCAATTTAATTATTCATAAATATTTTATAAATAAAAGTATTGTACTATTTTCATAATCATCGTTTGAAAAACAGTAAAATGCTAGATATAAATGATCAATTTATCAATAAGAAAAGCACTTTTTCTACGAATTTTCTTGTTTATGACATTAAACTAAAGAGTAACTTTCGAAATTTATTATTTAAAACTGAAATTCATGCTTCGTAAGTATTAAATTTTATGCAAAAATGCTGATAAAGACATAATCAATACTTTTATACAGATGTATGTCTTTTGATTGATTGATATAAAGAAAGTAATCGAGTCTTTTATAATGTTTTTGCATAAAAGAAATGAATATGCAGCAAATAATAAAAAATTACATAAAATAAAATTTAATTAGAATATATATATATATATATAATGTTTTTGCATAAAAGAAATGAATATGCAGCAAATAATAAAAAATTACATAAAATAAAATTTAATTAGAATATATATATATATATCATCATATATATTGCAGTTTATAATTTTAATCCTGAATAGAATGTTACAGATCCAATCTCACTTCAAAATTGTAAATTAGTGTAATAGGTATAAAAGGGGTATAAATTAACTTTCAAATTATAAAAAAAACAATAAACTTCACCATGTTATAGCGTTCTCAAAAGTAAATATCGCGTGGAAAATTGATCCTTACACGCGAAATATAGGGTCTGCAGTTTATAACTTATAGGCTATAACCTAGTTTACAAGGTTTAAATCCTATAAGTCATTCTATTCAATGGAGCTTCTCATCGTGTTTTGATCATGCTATTCAAGGAATTTAGGTTTACTTCATAAAATTGAGACACGAATTTATTAAAGATAAAAAGATAAAAATAAAATAAACGGGTTTTCTTTAAAGTCTTTATAAATTTAAATATTATTTAAGATTCTATAAACTACTTAGAAATCGTGTAATTGAATCTTAATTAATACATTGAAATGCGATTGGCGCCGAACAGAATCTTATATTCTAGCCAATATTTTTTCAAGCATTAAGTTAAACGTCAATAAATTAGCGTTATAAACTATCTTTTTCTTTTATTAACTGGAAAATGTCGCGACAACTTTCTCCGGTTTATTATTGTCACGGCCTCGGGCATTAATAACCTTAATCAGGATTAACTGGTAAATTTAACAAAAATACATTGATTGACCTCGATTTAAATCTTGAATATCTAATGCTAGCGTAATATATTAATATAAAATTAAGTGCATTTAATTTAATTTGCAAGTATAATAAATACAAATTGCTTGTAAGTCCGTAAAAATATATGGTTTAAAAAGTTTCTCACTGACAAACCTATTAATTAAATTTCGGATTACAAGATCCGAAAATAATTAATCAAATTTAAAAAAAAAATTCCTACGTGTCATTTCCTTACACACCATTCAATCTTTTATTAATGAAAAGGATTCATGATTTTTGTTAATAAAATATTACATTCCGTGACACGTGATTGCACCCGTGTTTTAACACGTGATCAATCAATTGTTTTGTCACTTAATATAATCAAAGAGTGATCAAGCGTTTGTCTGTTATCAGTCTACTTGAATAATTAAATTATTTTTACGATCAAATATTTAGATTAAATATTTCACGCAACCAAATTAAACTTTACAACCACAAAAAAATATATATAAGAATAATTAAAAATTTATTAAAAGAATTAATACTAAATTGTATAAGATCCAGATACGGTTCTAAATATACTGAATATTACTTTTTGGAGAGTGTAAACCAGTATATTGATTGATAAGGAAACTTCTAACTGCAAATATAAACACTCTTAAGGTCATTCATTTATTAATTCTGACATCCAATATTAAATACCTTAAAATGAAAGGTGGAAAAAATGTTTTGATCTATTGGCCTATTTAATTAGTAGAGAACATGATGCTAAATTTTAAATACGTCGAAGGTCCTTGATATACATAACACTTCATGTCTCTTCTCAGTATAGTAAGGTCAAATAAACAACAATCTATTTGACCTTTTACTTTAAGGATAAAAAGATACACCTTCTACCCACTTGTGTAATTTATGCATCTTTTTTAAAAATAATATTCAAAATAAAATTCCATTAATAATATTTTTGCAAAACAATCAGAGAGAATGCATTGATCTGAGTATCATCTTACCATAAAAACAATAGGTTATTAATTTTGAACCAATAAGGAAACGTAACCTAATTTTAAATTGTATAATAACAGTGATTTAGAAGTAAAAGGGAAACTACAAAAAAAAATTGGTTCATTAATTTAAAATAATCAACTACTAGTTGTTAAATAACATAAAATAATTTAAGTTATTTTAGGAAAGAAGACATTTTAGTTGTTTTTTTTTCTATCTGAAAAGATTAGAAATATTTAACTTTATATACCTAATAGTTAAACAAATTTTGCATTAAAAGTATAATACACTTCTTTAAAATTATAAATAGAAGAATAATGGAAGGTATTTCCTGAAATTTTTTCGACAATTTTAACCAGAATATCAAGTTCTTTTCTCTTTTTTTTGAACGTAAAACTAGCTGGTTGAAAACGAAACATGTGATCGCACAGGTGTCGACAAATTGCAGTTGCTCGAGCATAAAATCAAGAGGAACCACGGTTTTGGCTACGAACTCTGACCTAAAGGAAGACATAGTTTCAGGTCGACGCACTCTTTATACATTTCCTACTTTAAAATAATATTAGCTATTGTAATTAAAAACCACTAATATTTTGCATGTCACAGACCTCTTTACGAGATGTAAAACTAACGTTTGTTCTGGACAAATAGCTTTGTTTGAGTTAATTTAAACTAGATGTTTACTGTCTAAATTGGTACAACAGATGTATAGTGTAATTTTAAAACAAAACACGCAATAAAAGTCGAAAATAATTTATTTGACAACTTTTGAATCCCGTGACAAGACGTCATCGGAACGAGGAAGTGAATGGTCATAGTTGAAAGGTCAACACCTCAGAAAGCAAGTTATGAATACGAGAATGTTTATTCTGAAAGGCGTAAAATAAAGTTGTATTATGTATCTTACGTTTATTATTTTAAAAGTTTCATAATTTAATATCATTAAATTTTCAAAATAAATATTTAAATATGTTATAATGTTATTCGGATTTTTTAAAAACTTTATCAGCATAATTTTTATGATTTGTTTAATGTGCTCAAGTATGTACGTATATATACTTTTTTTTTTATCTCTTTTAAATTTGGGTCAATACTTTAAAGTAAAATAATTAAATTATCCATAATTTAAACAATTTTAAATTACGCGAAATAAATAAAAATGTAAAATCAATTTAAATATTTTATTTATTTATTCATTTTTAATAGAAAATTTATATTTTACTCTTACTTCTATATCTTGTTTTAATTCCATTTGCACAAATTATGCAAATTTTCTTTTTTGAATTGATTAATTTTTGGAACCTGAATCTCTATAAGAGTGACATTTAGGACATGTGTTTTTTCCGCAATAATGTCAGCGTATTTAAATTCAGGTTAAATAATATTATTTGGAAAAATTATGAAATTATTTCATATAATTTAATGTTTTTTTTTTAATTCTGTTATTACTATAAATTTTCATTTATTTAAAGAATAAATGCACATATTTAGATACATTCAAGTATTAGTATAGAATCTAATATACAAAATTTAATGAAGTCAATCAGATTGCATGAATAATAACATTAAAATTTGTATAAATATAAATAAAATTAACAAAAAAATTTAATAAAAAAAGAATTATTCATATTAATTCCAACGCCACTTAATTTACTTGTAAATGCGTTTGAATTTCTTAAATTTAGATAAGTTGAAACTTATAAATCATTCGATTATATACGACAACGGTTAAAAAAAACATTAAGAATTTTTAAAACGATAAGTTTTTCTTCTATTTTGTATAATTAATTTAAAAATTTTGGAACATCATCAAGGTTTGTCAAAGAAAAAGTTTCATATTGATTGACTGGTTGTCCTTGCTCCCAATTAACTTGCTCGCTATTGGCTTGATTTACTTTTACTGTTTTCGGGGCATAGGTACCTCAGTTTATGATGTACAAAAATTTTCTTCCTTTAATTTATAATACTCTGTTATTATAATAATTATAACACAGAAAAATACATTTGGAAGC